AGAGGTACCTGTGAAAACTATGTTAACGGACTGCTATCTTCGTTGTGTTGCAACTCGCCTGCAGAAGTCATTCCTGATTACTTCATCCCAATGCTGAGTAGACCGTGCCAAGGTCTCTATCTTATCGAGCGCAGGAGCTACTACGCGATCCAAAATGTCCAGAATGAATTGCACTTCCTCGGTGCTTGGAACTTGATATCCCATGGTCAGCAGTTGTGTCAGGCGTATTGATATCATGCTCACCGTGCCATTCCACCTTCACATCCTTCGCTTCGTACAGTCGACCCCATTGTGTGTTGTGTGACTCGCCAAACTCTGAATAACAATCAGTTGCGTAAGGGGGAGTGGTGTCGACGTGACCGACCAGGTTGATTCCATACGTCTTCATTCACGAAGCGGTTGTCAGATGGGTAGACACCAGACAGCGCATGCATCACTCTAGCGACAATCGCGGCAGTGCCCGTGTACCCACGCTCGTTCTTCGTCTTATTCAACAGTAACGATAAAAGGTTGATGATGTCTTCTTTGTGGTTGAGGAGCTAGAATTGATAACGCATTTGGGAACTCAAAACAACTACGGAATGAGATCGCACTCACAGCATGTGCGCCGTACGCAAGACACCCGCGCAATATTGACATGTCTGATAAGACAGTCGTTTAGATGCCCGACAAAGAACAAGCTAAGCCACTCACTCCAATGCAACGTTGTGTCAGATGGAACCAGATCGTGTGCTGATGTTGTCCTAACGCTCGAAGCTCCGTACTTGAGTTCTTCTTGTATGCGTGAGATACATGACGGCAAAAACTTATCCAACGTCTTCTGAGGTTGTGCGCGTGCCAGGCATGCTACGAGCTGCCCGAACGCTCGGATGGCGTTAGATTTTGCATTTGTCACAGCGTATTCGAAAACGAGATTCAACACGAGATCGAATAGTTGGTCTGAGAGGTGCAAGGTGACCACGTCAAGCATGCTCTTGATCGATTTCAGAACGGTCTCTTCCGATTTTCCGCCGGTAGTCTTCTTCTTCCCACCTTCCTCAGGAAGATTCTCGTATAAAGCTAGAACTCTGCGAAAGAGGGACGTCACCCAATCTACTAGGGAGTGAGTAGCTTTCCTTCACTGAAAGGGAACAACCACACCTGCGAAGCCTGCCGTGCTCTCTCGGACAAGAGTCCTCTCTTCTTGCCTGCCCAGTGAAACGAATGGGCTCATTTCGACACCTTCAGGGATGTGGGTGTCCTCGGCATCAAGCTCCATGAGTTCTTCTGCTGGCGCATCCCCAGACAAAGCAAAACCAGAGTGGTTCATGGAGAGATCTCCAACCTTCACATGCTGCATGGCGCTGACGATGAATAAAGTAGCACAAATGGTCTTATTGGGGTCGTTCTAAACATCGCGTGATGAGAAACAAGCGCACGCTATGAGGGTGTAGAGTATCTTACCAGATCAATACCAGGAAGGCAAAGTTCGAGAAGAGGAAGCAGGTGCTTTTGTCCCGGCCTCCATATCATCTCCGAGACAAGCGGAAGTGAAATGCCGGACAGCATCTTCAACACTGCAGTGGTGCGGTGAGTCTCGTTTACCACTTCCAGGCCACCGTAGGCACGCTCGAGAAGCTCAGGCATGATGAGCGTTGGCTCAAGCAATGCCATAGTGCGCAGTGCACTTTGTGCCATGCTAATAGAAAAGGAATCTTTGGAAAACATGGCAAGGAACGCAGGCGTGCGTAAAACATCGACGAACGCTCGGCGAAGAGAAGGAGTGAGACGGTGTGCCTAAATTGTGCACATGATTTTACTGCAATAAGCTCTGATGTCGTACGTACCACGGGAGTTTTGCACGACGGCTGCTGTTCTTCAAGCCATCTGTCGGCAAACTCGACAGTAAGACGTTGCAGCAAATTCGTGAGCTAGTGGGAATATCAACAGAAGTCCACCTATTTCAGCACAAAACGCACCGTGAACGTCCAGTGACCGGAGTTTGATGGATGAAAGAAGGATTCTGTACTTGTAATCAGTTTGTCTAACGAGTCGAGCGCCTTCGAACCGGCCAAGTATCCCATCGGCTGGCTATTGGGAGACCCAGGAGTGGATGCGGAATCTCCGCGTATTGGACCATCGAGGGCCATCGAGTACACAAATAGTTTAGCCAGGGAACCTGCAGAGATTAGGATTGCTCTTGTGTGGCGCAGAAGATTTGAAGATACTGACTGATCCTACTAATTGTTTTCTTGACTTTGGAACCTTGGCGTGCCGCGGAAGCATCTGCCTGAACAGCTGTAGCAGCAATATTCTGCTAGAATTTAGTTGGATATCGCTGTGCGAAGAGAGAAAAAGAAATGACTCACGCTCGAATTGCCCACAGGGACATCTATTGTAACAAGAAGTCAACGGGATCTTGACCAAGTGTGCTAAAAAAAACCTACACAGCGACTCAATTCCTTTACTGACAAGCATCAACCACTCTTCTTGTGTCCAGATACCGACATCTTTCCATGCGGCACCTCCTTCCTCTCCCGCAGGTCCTTCCTGACCAGCAATGTGTTCCTCCGCGAGGATTCCAGCGAATTCGAGGAACCTATCGTCCATGATGTTCGAATTGAAAGCTTCCCAAATCCTGAATATCACGGGAAGGTAGATGTGTGTGTGGGTTGGCGGAAGGAACGATGTGAGAACAGGTATCATCGTCAATGTAGTCTGAGTAGCATTAATGTGAGGGATCCATCAATCCCAAGAGATCTAGGACTTACATCGGGCGTGAGGATAGGCAAGAACGTCTCGAGCATATCGGGGATATCAGTCGCAGGGAAATAGCGCTTACAGCTTTCCGCAACATACAGCAATATATTGTTTAAGTTACGATTTCCCCTGTGCACATTGCATTAAACACTGGCATTTGAACATAGTTGTGGCACACTTACTGGAATTCTGCGAGGCGGCTCTTGGGGAACAGCTCTTTGTACAATACATCCCATAGGGGTTTCCAGGGGAGTTGGAGGTCAGTGGCCTCAAGTTTACGCTTAACGGTCTTGGATCCTAAGAGGCGGTACAACATATCTGCCCAGCTACGGATGACCCGCACTTCTATGCCAGGCAGAAGGCATAGTTCGTAATAAAAGCGGACCAATGAGGCGCGGGTGGAGGTCGTCATGGGATAACGCATCTGCAGCCAGCTGGAAGCGGGGGTGAGTAATTTTGGATTGTATAGAACAATAACATACCATTGCAGGATTGCATCCCAGGTAGTGAGGACCAACCAATTCTTGGATTTAGCGCAGACTATCAACTTGCCAACTATGTACTCAAGCTTGGCTTGCATGACATCAATAGACTCGCACTCGTAAGGGAGGGAATCAAGATATGTCTGGAGAGTAGCCTTTTGCTTCTCATATGCAGAGCGATCAGAGACGAGTTCCGCGGCAATGTCATCGGAGGGTGACTCGAGGACATCCACGGATGTATCTTCTTCATCCATGACAACGGAAATACCACCTGAAGAAAACTCTTCTGCAAACTCGGAAATGAGACTACTGATATCAAGTGACATGAAGGGAGACACTGATTATGATAGAAAGCAGTTATGGGAGAATTTAAAGATGATGATAGTATGAAGGAGTCAGTTCCCGCGGTGAGGCGATATCTGAAGGATAGAAGTACTGAAAGAAACCGAATTTGATTGAGAACGTACGTGTTTTTATATCGGAATGAATTTCCAGCTGACGCGTCGTCTGTCTGCGGATTTGACTTGTTTAGGAGGATTGCGTTGCCCCCAGAACGCAGTATATTACTCTACTCCGTAAACGCCTGACGCTCCCATAGACTACATAATATTAATACTCCCACGTGGCTCTCCCGACGGTCCTTCTCTGGGCACAACATGTCTCAATTTTTACGACCACTGGCGATTTTCAGCTCGTCATGGTCTCGTTCATGTATAACTCGAACTTCCAAACAGTCTAGGTCATTCGTAAAACCGTTACTATGGGGTACTGCTGTTTCCATCTTTTCAGCTGCATATGCGGTACAAAGCACAACCATACATCTTGATGCCGAGCCATCTCTGCCCGACTCCGAATTCGAGAGTATGTTTCGCCGCCTGACTGGGCTAGTCCAAGAACTCAAAATTTCGCATAGTTGATCCTGCAACATCAATTGCTTTTCCTAAGACCCTTCGTATACCTTCAAAGTTCCCTTTGCCTCAGTTCTCACTCATTGGTGTTGGGGTGAGAACCGTGTCATTCCTTGGCATAAAGGTATACTCTGTTGGCTTTTACGCTGACCTTGCCAATCCAAACCTGAATGTAACACTGCTCCTCCGCCCCCTTGTATACTGATTCCTGATAGACACTCGGTAGATTCCCATAACTGCAACTCCCGACGAAAAGGTCGAGCACATTGTCCGCAATACCGCTTGCGCCATCCGAATAGGCAAGTCCATACTGTACTGAACACACGCCGTCGTTGCTTTGAACTTCACTTTGCTCAGTACCTACTCGCGGCACATCGTACTCACATCTCCGTGATGGCTTCATGCGTGCCCTCACTGCGCGTATGCAGCTCGCGCATACACGTGCTACAATCACTCCAGCAGAGGAACCCGCAGCCCAGTCTTCCTTGAGGACATTGAAATCGCTTTTCCCGACTACATCAATGTCAAAGGGCAAACCATTTGACATAGTACTCCTCGCGCCATTGCGCAGCCCGTCTCGCCCACGTACTCTGGTACTTAAAGATATGGGTTCGGTAGAAAATGATTGGGTAGCAGAGGAGTTTGTCCTGGCATATTTCGAAGGTAACGGAATTAGCCCTCCGGTAAGATTCTTCCTCTGTATCTCATGATCTGGTTGACAACTTCTTGCACAGTTGAAGAAAGCTGTTACAGAGCGCATGCAAACGTTCGGGAAGTAGTACTTAATACCTCTGGCTTATTACTAGGCCATACCTGTGACCAAAATGCAACCGATGACAATAATGTCACTTGCTATGAGCCCAAAGATGCATCCCGTTTAGCTCAGTTGGTAGAGCGCCTCACTAGTAATGACGAGGTCAGTCGTTCAAGTCGGCTAATGGGAAATTCAGTGAACGGGTAAATAAGTCGGCTTTTAATTTTTTTAAACCTCTATCAAGCACGCCTTCGACAGCCGTGAGGCCGGTTGAGCACTCAGGTACCTTCCGTCAGAGTCAGCGATTTAGGGCCCGACTATGCGATGTAAGTCGTGACACTTATAGTTTCAGCCTTCATAAGAAATTTCTTGGGATGACTTAGATCTTCATTTTTATGTTTCTCAAGATCTCAATCTTTTAATATTTGTTTATACAAAGCTCGTTTGCCGGGCGCTGGAGGCGAGTGTTACGACGCTTGTCGACAAACAATCCTGTTCCTGGCAAAAGGGCACAAATATGATCACCAAAGCGCTATGAAAATGGACAGGTCTAGTAACGCAGAGCTCATCTCCCCAGACACGTGCCATCGGATGGAGTTTGGTCACAGCTAACTTGTGCAGTGGTGCTGTTGGCATAATGACCCAGGGGATGGATAATGACGGGGACGTGCTCAGATTCAACCCAGATTCAACCAAGCGCTGGCGTCCTAGAAGTACTGCAGGGTAGACAAGGGAAGCCATCTCCGGAATCTCCAGTCCCTTCAATTTGATTTCACCAACAGGGACAAAAATCGTTTGCAGTTGCAGGATTTCCTTGATAGCCCGAGCTGGTTGAGGTTTTGAAACCGGACCGAAATTCAACAAACTCGCCTTGATTTTGCGAACATCGGCGCTGTACATGGTTTGTCCACCCAACGCACTGGCACTGATACGGGCGCATCGGTCAACCACAGACCCGAGATAGTCCATGAGGCGAGTGATGGGATCTGGTTCGCACGCCGGAGCTCCAGAGTGGATACCCATACGGACGGAAAGGCCGCAGTGCAAGAAGGTTTCCGTGTTCATCGTAGACCTCTTTGCCTTCTTGGCAATCTAGTATTTCTGGAGGCCAAGGTACATGAAGAAGTTGAAGCTGGGCAGTAACGCTCCACCATACCGCGGCAAGGATTGTTGAAAAGGCGCACATAAAATGCGTCGCCTTCTGTCCTGACAATATAACTACCACAATATAGAAGGTGTTGTAACAGCATATTGTTGCGCAGGTGTATCGCTGTCGGCATGGCAGGATTCTTGTCTCACAGTTGGGTTGAACTGCGGATGTCTGTGAATACTAAACATACATGCCCTGTAGGCGGTGGCACCTCCATTTCCAAGCGAGCATTGGTCTGGACCAGAGAAACCTTCGCTTGCCCAGATACAGCAGAAGGTGCTTCGTCCTTTTGGCGAATTTTAAAATCAGGCATGAGTGTAGCCAGGGATCCATTCTTCCCGGTGGTGTCGGCAATGCTGTATTTCATTCCATTCACATGTCTATCCGAGAAGCACGAACATGATGTTGGCCAGTCTTTTCGGGATCATTGTGGGTAGAAGGGGCCACAACATTTATCGAATCAGGGATAGGACAATGAAACAGCCAAGAAAAATTGGAAGGTACCTACCGCTTTCATTCCCTACGGGTATCTCACAGTTGTGCTGCAGGGAATTCAATTTTTGGTTTCTGAAGATATCGAGGGACTTCAAGTTACAGTTGAAATTGCTGCAGGAGCCATGAAAAAACCATACGTATAGGTTCTAAAAGTTATACATACCAATTTGCGAATCCCCAACAATGGCTCATGGCTGTACCTTGAGGAGCAGAGGCTTGCAGTAGAATGCATGTCACGGTGATCTAGATGAAGATTTGGATGACGCATTGTTAAGAGTGCATGACCGGTAGAAGTAGAGGAGCCCATCATCATGTAGGCGTGACGGCATTCTCAAATGCGATGGATAACCTGAGATCGAGATGCCTTTGATGTTTTAGAATTTTGTGTAACTTGAACTTCTGAAGTACCGAGCCCAGGTGTTTACCTCTATTGAATTGTAAAGCTACTGACTAAGCCAAAGAGCTTCGACCTGGCGAGATGGGCGTGAAGGACGTTGGTGAGCGCTATAATGCTTACTCCCAACTTACCAACAAATGCATTCTTGGGGGGCACCTCGGATGTTAGCTTTTACCAGATCTCAGCAAGGAACGAGCTCGGACTTGACGAATTCATGCGTTGGTTAATAACATTTGGTACTACTAAAGATCGCGTGTGTCATTAGCACATATGTAGGAGTAAGTAGTTGATATTAGATATAGGCCGTCAAATTCAGCTTATTCCTGCTCACCCTTGCCACGAGCTCATCTCTACGAATAGTTCTGAATCTGCAGGGACAATTCCGAGTCCCACTACCCCTGGGCCCTCACGAAAAAATACCACATGACTGGATCCCATGGTCACTGTATCTTCTGAGCGAGAGATGCGATTATCATTATTCGGACCTTTGTAGTTCATTTTTAACGTGATCTTCGTAGTCGATGATTGATGTCTATTGTTCTGGTCCTACGCCTTGAAATTTAAACATTAATCAAATCAATAGGTGTCCACAGAAATCACGTGGATGTACGCGACGCGCTTGTGGCTAAATATAACCTCATCATCATTGTTGATTGACCTAGGTGCACGTGCCGAAACGGACCGATATATATATAAGAAGGGATCGCGTTCAGTTTGTGGCTTGCGGACAACACCCATCTTCACTGTCAACTTACCTCAAGTTTCAACCTCACTTACCTTGCAACTTTTCCAATGGCCCGTACCAAGCAGACCGCCCGCAAGTCAACCGGAGGTATATTTTCTCGTATTCATCCTCCAAACCTCATAGCATTAACTGTCTTGAACAGGCAAAGCCCCCCGTAAACAACTCGCATCCAAGGCAGCTCGCAAGACCGCCGCTGTCAGTCGACCCTTCTAAGTCTTTCCACCATGCCTCGCTGACTGGTTCGATCCCTTGACAGGTCCCCGCCGGAGGTGTCAAGAAGCCTCATCGCTTCCGCCCTGGTACCGTCGCCCTCCGTGAAATCCGTCGTTACCAGAAGTCTACGGAGCTCCTCATCCGCAAGCTCCCATTCCAACGTCTTGTGCGTGAGATCGCACAGGATTTCAAGGTTAGCACCGTCTTTCTTTATCATCCATATATTAACCGAGCCATCCAGACCGATCTCCGCTTCCAATCCTCTGCTGTCATGGCACTCCAGGAAGCCGCTGAGGCTTACCTCGTCTCGTTATTCGAAGATACCAATCTCGCAGCTATTCACGCCAAGCGTGTCACCATCCAACCTAAAGACCTCGCGCTTGCTAGGCGCCTGCGTGGAGAACGATCATAAGTTAGCGACTGAGTAATAATTTTAGAGCGTTGTATTTGTTTTGTAATGGGATTCTGAGCTTCTGTATGAATGATAATTTCTTTCTTCTGCCCAAGATTATTCCTTTAGATCTCAGACACCTGTGAGAAACATACGGACGATGCAGGCTGGTAATACCAGCACATTATGTCGGACGTGCACAACTTCAAGGATTCGAGGGGTTTACCTGCATACTGTCGGCCAAAATTAGGCGGTGACCGATCGCCGGCCATTTTTGGGTAATGCGCTTTCGGATGCAGTCTAGAACGTTAACCTGACCATGACCTCCATAGCGAGGCTCGCACGTCAAGCCAATACGCTTTGCACTCGTTCGCGGCCATCGACCTACATCTTCTTATTTTCACATGGTCACCGTCACCAAATCCAAGCATTTGGATTATGTCGCAGGTCGTTTGTGACTCACCAAGACGCTGCATCTTCATTACTTTCTTCCGCGCTTGACCAGAAACAGCGCGGGACGCGTCTGAACCGAGAGGACTCAGTAGGGCCGTTTACGCTTGGAATATCTCAAGGCTCCCTCAAGGGAAAGAAAGTAAAACAGTGGTCCGAGCTGAGCACCGGTGGCAAGGGTGCGCATGAATTCTCATATTTTCTTATAGATCTATCATAATGGACTGTGATTGATCCTATCTATTTTCACAGTGATTCGAACAACGCAGCGCACTTCGAATCTTGCTGTCATTCTTTTGGGTGCCGGGCTTTCTGCCGTGCTCATATATGCCCTTACATCAGAATTGTTCTCAAGGAACTCGCCTACCGTCCTTTTTAATGATGCCTGCGACCGCATTAATTCATCTCCTCGGGTATGTCATGAAATCTTACGAGTTTGGGTTCAAAACAATATCGATTTTGCTATGTACAGGTTGCAAAATACCTGCGAGCACCTCTTATATTCCACAATAATCCACCCTCCTCCACACGACCGAGGCACAGGCATAGGCACGTTTCATCCCAAGTCGCTGTAGATTCTTCAGGGCGAGAACACATGCTCCTAAACTTCTACGTACAAGGGTCGTCTTCCGCTAAATCAGCTCAGCAAGCCGATGAAGAAGCAGGCCCCTCATACATCGAGTCTCTGAGTTCCCTGACTCTAGATGAAACCATAGCGCTTGCGAAGGAGAAGCTGGAGTCGATCGGGCAATCTGCAAAACGTGCATTTAGATACTTGAGTGGCGATGTCGCTCCATCGCCCGCACCTCACCCACAACTGTCAACTAATGACAGCCAGGAGAACGAAAGAAAACAGGAGAAGGGCATGTGGAGCTTTGCTGGACTGTTCTCAGGATTAAAGGGACGCAGAAGCGTAGCTGAGGGTGGAGGAGACTCAGGCGTTTCATGGACAGAAGGAGAGGTCCATGCTGATCTTGTCCGGGTATGTAATTCTCCGAAGGATATTTCGCAAATACTCATATGAAACACAGAACGACGAGGGCTACTTCGTCTTCCGGTATCTCCTGATTGACCTTCCAAGTATGTCACTTTGTTGATTCCTATTATCTTCCGCTAACACCAACGTTTCAACCTTAGATTCAGAAACCCGGAATCCAGTGAGGGTATTCGTTGAACGAGCACCAGGTGTACGGGAGAATGAGCCCATCATGCGGTTCACTTCGGCATAGATCAATGCACCCCAATACCTAATTCGAAGGTAAGGGAGAAGATCGTAGGTACAGTAGACTCTGCTTGCCATGTACATCTGTATTATATGGTACATATGGACATTCAACCCCTAGCAATGC